TAAATACCCCGCTCCCTGGAAAATTACAGACATATTAAGTACATTTCCATAGTTAGAAGTCATTTCCAACAGAAGTCATAATTATGAGTTAAAGACAAAGAAAAATTGTGTGCTATAAGTAGATGTTATAATCATGGTAGTATATCCTTTGTATGTGACTCAGATGACCAACTTTCTAAATCCAAAGCATATCAAGGTTTTGTTTTGCTTTTCTCTTACTTATCAGGAATCCAGAGTCTAACAGTCCTGTCTCGTGAGGCAGATGCCAACAAGTTTCCGACCGGAGAAAACTGCACGCTGGTTACAACATCCTTGTGACCTACAAATCTGAAAGCTCTCGCATGTGGCTTGAAATTCCATAGCATGAGAAACGTATCCCAAGAAGCAGTAGCTATCAAGAAATAGAAGAACAAAAAACCGCTGTTTGTTAAAATGCAAATGTATACATGTCTCATTACAATGGACAGCATATCTAATAACAAATCATCCAGGTAATTGAGGGGCTGAGGGTTCTAAGGCTGAAAAGGCAATGAGAAAAATATTAGCTGCATCACTAATAAGCATCCTTGGCTGTGTAATGCGTATCCACATAGGAGGATGACTGGATCCAGTATTCAGTCAGCGCTCACTAATTACTTACTTACTAGAAAGAGGCAGCACCGTACACTAGAGCATTAGACTAGGGTTAGTTCTGCCTCTGCAAGTACCTGGGTGACTGGGGAAGTGATCTAACCTGTCATGAGGACTGAATGCTTTTCTTGGATGTTTTTCAAACTGTTAAACTGTAGAATTAAACTTTTATTTACAGAAGAGTTACAAGGATAGTACAAAGAACACTGAGCAAATTTACCCAGATCCACCCGAGGTTATATTTCCCCATCTGCTTTATAATTGCTCTTGTACTGATTTGCATAGCTCTCCCTCTCCTGCTATATGCACACACATAATTTTTCCTTTAGTAATTTGGAAGTAAGTTGTTATATACCAGGACATCTTTATTCATAAATACTCCAGTATGTTTTACTAAGAATAAGAACATTCTTTTTTTAATTGTAGCACAGCTATCAATTTCAGGAAACTTATTATTGATTTAGTCCTATAATGCCTGAATTTTTAATTTTAGGGAACAATTTTTTTATTCTTTACTTTCATAGTTATCTATATATATATTAATATATAAGTTTTAATTAAATGTTATGAAAACGTCATGCTCAGCGTTATAGAGATAAGGTACCTTGGGGACACAGTGGGTTAGCATTGAACTGCTAACCAAAAAGTGGGCAGTTCAAACCTATCAGCTACTGTGCAGAAGAAGATTATGCAGGCTGCTTCTGCAAAGGATTTACAGCCTCAGAAACCCTATTGTGCAGTTCTACCCTGACCTACAGGGTTGCTATGAGTCTAAATCAATTGATGGCAGGGCTATGACAACATCCTTAGTATCACTTTAATCTACCATATATAGTCCAGTTTTACCAACTGACTCAGTAAAAACTTATCTATCAGTTTATAGCTTTCTCTGGTTTATAAAAAAGTCATGTGTATTAACATTAGCTTAAAGCTTTAAGATACAATCAGTGGCGGAAATAAATGTTTAGGCCAAAGAATCAATAGGAAACGAAAGACAGGAACCAGGTTTGTGAGAATCACTGTCCAAATTATAAAATGCTTACGGAAAATGAAACTTTATAAATGTCAGATACAATCAGCATCACTGTTCTAAACCCAAAACCAAATTGACTGCCCTGGAGTCAATTCCAAGTCCATGGCAACCCAATGGGCATCACAGTAGAACAGGGCTAGATAAGGTTTGCAATGACTGCGTGGGGGACAGGCCTTTCTTCTGAGGTAACTCTAAGTGGATGCGAACCTCCACCATTTCAGTCAGCTTCAGAGGACATTAGCAATTTGCATTGCCCACTCACTCCAAAGAAGAGATATAGGGCCTGGTTATGGAAAGCCACCGGGCGCCTTCTAACTTCTTAACCAGAGATCAAATTCATTTGGATTTTGAGCTCAAAAGTTTTAACTTACAATGCTTCAAAAAAGTTTTTCAACTGTTCAGAAAGTTGATGATATCTCACCACAGCCCATCCATAATAAACATTTTAATATCTTAAGTACCTAGGGCTAATAATGTACACAGAGTAGGGGGAAATGAGGTATTGTTATACATGTTACACTTAGGATCCTATTTGAATATTACAAACAAGACACACAGATGCAACTAAGACCAACATACCTCCCCCTCAAAGAACGACACTGCACAAGAGGAGACCGTGAAGGGGCTGAAGAAAGGCAAGAATGCCAAGGAGGAGAGCGTGATGAGGCGGATAAAGATGACAGTGAAGGTGACGACGAGGATGAAGAGGAGTTCCGGTCAGCCACAATGAAATCAGCGGTCGCCCCTGCCTCAAAGGAGGAGGAGGAGGAGGAAAACTATGACGAGGATGATGAAGATGAGGAGGAGGAGGATGCCTCAGAGGAAGAGGCTATGGAGATCGCACCAGCCAAAGGCAAAAAGCACTGGCCAGGGAGGTCCCTGCAAAAGCCAAGAGTGTGGCTGAGGATGATGACGACGAAGACGATGAAGATGAGGAGGATGAAGATTAAAAGGAGAAAGAACCTGTCAAAGAAATATCTGGAAAATGGAAGAAATGGCCAAGCAGAAATCTGCTCCTGAAGCCAAGAAACAAAGTGGAAGTGGTAGAACCAACTACACTTTCACCGTCTTGACTGGAAATCTGAACGACACCAAATCTGCTCCTGAACTCGAAACTGGCCTCCGTGCCCTGTTTGCTAAACACGGTCTTCCTGTGATGGTTGTCAGAATTGGTATGACAAGGAAATTTGGCTATGTGGATTTTGCATCTGCTTATGGCCTGGGAAAAGCCTTGGAACTCACTGGCTTAAAAGTTTGGGGCATTTCACAGAAATTGAAACTGAGGTGCAGGGTAAAATCATCCCAAGACCAAGACCAACTGCCATTGAGTTGATTCCGACTCATAGGAATCCTGAAAGACAGGACAGAACCCCAAAGGACAGAGTAGAAACCCTGTGGGTTTCTGAGGCTGTGAATCTTTACAAGAGTAGAATAGAAAGCCCCATCTTTCTCCTGTGGAGTGGCTGGTGGTTTTGAACTGTGGACCTTGTGGTTAGCAACTCAATGTGTAACCGCTACACTACCAGGGGCTCCAAAATCCATAGCTATTAGGTAGTAAATCCAGGCTTTCCCCCAGGTGTGTCTAACTGCGAAGTGACTGCAATGCTTCTGGAGGAATCTTGTCCCTGTGGCTCTCTGACTGATAGGCAGTTTAACTGTGAGGGGATAATTTTAAAAATGTAGGTCACCCAGCAAGTTACATTGGAGAGTGTTGGGGGAGAAGGACAGGGAGAAAGTGGGAAGGAGGAGGGAGAGGAGGAAGGAGAGGGAGGTAAAGAAAAAAGAAAAAAAAAGTTTGGGGCAACGAGACTAAACTAGAGAGACCAAAGAGAAAGGACCATAAGAAAGATCAAGATGCTAGGACACTGTTGGCCAAAAATTTGCTTTAGAGAGTCACTCAGTATGAATTAAAAGAAGTCTTTGAAGATGCCATGGAGATCAGATTAGTCAGCAAAGATGGAAAGAGTAAAGGGATTGCATAGCTTGAGTTTAAGAGAGAAGCTGATGCCGAGAAAACCCTTGAAGAGAGGCAGGGGACAGAGATTGATGGGCGGTGCATATCCCTGGACTATACTGGGGAGAAGGTCAAGGTCAGGACCATCAAGGTGGGAAGAGCAGCACTTGGAGTGGTGCATAAAAAACTCTCTCTTAAGTAATTTCTCCTGCAGAAGAGACACTATAGGAGGTGTTTGAGAAGGCAACTGTTATCAAGGTGTCCCAGAAC